TACAATCAAGACCATTAAAAAAAATTACTCTAATAAGTGCTTATGTGTCAACCCAGTTAGCTTTTTAGACATTTGCTTTTGTTGTGTTTTGTTATGTATTGTCCTTTTCTAGAAGCCCACTGCCTAACAGCCACTCCTTCTAAGCCTCTTTGTTGCTTAAATTAAGGCCAAAAATGTCTCGCTGGTACTGACTCCCACTTGATCTGCTCGTTATTTCCCCCCTGACATGGGACCAAAACCAAACAAAATCCAGGAAAGAGCAAATCCTCACAATGAGGAAAGAAAGTGACCAATCAAGAAAGATCTTCAGTCTCTGGCCATATCACCCTGAACGCATCCGATCCCATCTGGTCTCAGAAGCTAAGTAGAGTCAGACCTGATTAGTATTTGGATGAAAGACAAATCTTCAAAAAAGACTGCTCAGAGACAAGCAGTCTGGAGACAAGGGGGGAATGTCATCAAAGTTCAAATGGAGTCACTCATGCCAGACCTCCCAAAAATAACAAAGGCTGAGAAGATTGATGAAATGGTTAATATATACATGTAGCCATCTGGCATTAAAGCCCTTCTGACACAAACTCACATTTTTAGACAGAGTCTTCTACTTAAGAGACAAAATGACTATTTTTACTGGCTTTAAACATGTCCTTTATTACTTAAAGATGGTAGTTTTAACTTTTTTAAACAAATGAATTTTCTTAAACATATATACTGATAGTATATTGTTGCCATGGTAATTCTACTCTGTTTAAAAAAAAAAAGATACTGTCTGGGTAAAAAAATAAAATAAAATAAAATGTCCAACCATTAAAACCCCGTTAGAGGGGCCCTTTTGTTGTTATCTTGTCTATCCCCACTACAGTTAAAATAACAAAAAATGCTCCCTGGATCCACCACAGCCAAGTAAAGCCAGCCTCTCCCAAGTGGGAGTACGACCTGACTCAGCCTCACCATCCAAGATCACTCTCCGAAGCACCTGTGCCCTTCCTTGGCAGGACTCCACTTCCCAGCAGAAAACAGGGGACCACAAACAAAAGGACAACAGCCCCACTCTAGTCACTCCAAAAGCTGACACTTCTGTGTAGACACGGAGGAAGCTCAAACATGGGACGCACCCCTGCTCTCCTCTACACACTTGGACTCTTACCTTTTGGGTTGGCCCTTACAAGGTTTTTCCCAGGTACTAAATGTTATAAGAGAGCCACTGCTGGGACCTCTACACAGCCATACTTTGTATCATGCACCCACCAACAGGTCAGATATAACATCAGCTCATTTACTCCCAGGTTAGCAAGATTGCTGGTAAGTGAAACTAAAACTCTCAGAGTACAAAACAAACAAATGAACAACAACAACAAAAGAAAACCAATATAGACTACATTTATCCTAAAAAGTGGGGCAATGGGTCTTATCCTAAGAACATGTTTAATAATACCCTGCCTGGTCCCCCTGGTACTGCGGTCCATCAGGACCATTATGGAGGCAGGCCACTACAGAAAGGAAAATGGCCACACATGTAATGATGCTATAAAAATACAAACCCCTAGATCAAGATGGTGCTCTTTGACCCTAGGTGGGTCTGAGCATCAAAATGGGGAATGATGTAGCAGGGAGGAGGAGCACAAGAGAAACAGACAGGCTGTGTTCTGATAATGGGGTAGGGAGAAGGAATGACAAAGCAGAGAGATAAAACTTAAAAAATTAAAACATAAAGAAGGTCACATAGCCCTGGGAGACTGAAATAGTCAATAAAGTCACATACAGTCACAAGTGGGTTGAGCTTTGCTTTTTGCTTTTGTAACCTGCTTGCAAGGGTATATAAGGTGAGACCTCTTTGTTCTCGGAGCTCAGACTTTGAACACGAGTCTGCTGAGTCTGTGCCTGCACAATAAAACACTGCTTCCTGCTAAACTGCCTCAGTGCCCCATATCTCAACTTGAGATTCCTGCAACACTATAACCTAATTACCTTCCCTTAATCTCTATCTCTTGAACTCTTGGGCTCAAGCCATCCTGCTTTAGCTTCCCAAGTCCCTGGAACTTATGACCTATTCCACCACACCCAGCTCAGGCCCTGCCTCTTAAACATCAACATCACCACACTGGGGACCAAGCTTCCAGTACATGAACCTTTGGGGGACACTCAAACCATATGCAAACCACTGCATCCATCACCTCACAAGAAGTGAGTCACTAAGTCCAGTCCACTAAGTGTCTAAAGAGGTATGACATAAGATGGCAAAAGCTCCCCAATGAAGGAGGTTGCCTATCACACCAGTGGTGTTTGCACCCAGAGAGGAAATGGTGATGCAGGAGAGAAGAGGGAAGACCCAAAAAAGGCAGAGGAAATCCAGGCTGAAGACCTGTGCACTTACTGGTCTACTTCTTTCTCCTGCCATTTCATGTGTTGACTGTGCTGTAAGGGGAGTGATTATTAAGCTAAGTGCCTGTATCCAGGCACAATTGATAAGTACACTGCTCCTAAGTAACCACCTAAGGTCAGTTAGTTATGTAATTAATGGCTGGATTTGAATGCGCAGTTGATGTAATAACTTGGCTAGATGCCACTTTTGTGTATAGTGGTATAAAACCCACTGCACTGAGTAGCCTGCTGCTGGAGCTGCTGTGGCTGATGATGATGGCAGCTGATTGGCTGATGGCTACAATGGATAATGAAGCATATCAACTCCTTCCTGGCTCCTGTTTGAACCCCAGGTTTGCTCAAAGCAAAGGACCTATCTGCTTGAAGCAGGGTGTTTGGCTCACGGCTGCATGCACTTGTTTTATGAATCTGTGGAACCCCTATTCTGTCATAGCAAGACTCATCTTACAAAGCCATGTACAGTCTGATCACATTCCCTTCCCCCCACGCCCCCGCCCCTCAGAAACAAACACGCTCCATTTCCCCCTTTCCAATATTACTTTCTACTAAAATATTTGTGGAACAGGGAATTTGTTTCTTGTCAGCCCCTCAGTGCAACTTGTAACTTGTTTCTCCAACATTATCTACTTCCTGTTCAATGACTGAAGCTTAGCCCCAGCCTCTGCTTCCTTTCCCATGTGCTAACTGAACCCAACTAAAATAGACTCCTTTTAATACTGTTAGCCATGTCAGCCTCAGAGGAGTGATGTAAGCACATGCCCCCCATGCCTTAATTCCCTACCACACAACCAACTTCTTAGACTACCATAGCTCACACTGTTCCCTTGCTACTGAAGGGCAAATTTCAGCCTAACTCAAGAGGTGAATGGCAAGCCAATTTAAAACCATACATTAGACATCATTCTTTAAAACTCTGGGTAATATTAAAGGAAAAATTATTTAGTTATAACTTATTGAAGCACAGTAAGGCAGCCTTTCCTCAGGATCTTTAAGATAAGTATAGGAAAGGCTGGGAATGTATAGTGGTAGAGTTTCCTAGCACACATGAGGCCTTGGGTTTGATCCTCAACACCCATCTTCACTCTCCTTAAAAAGGTATAGATAGAAACTAGGGCAAGAGAATTTTGAAGTGGGGAGAGACTGGGCTCAACTCCAAATACAGCATGATTAAGTGGGAATTTATAGTCAAGGAGTAGGAGGAGGGTTAGTGGGTGGAAAATCACTAAAAGAGAACACTGGGCATAACAAGAATTCTGGCTAAACCCACCTGACAGGATTCTTAGTGACCACAGGCCAAGGTGATCAGACGTCATCACCTGGGGGATGAGGAAACTAATTAGATATCAAGGATAGGAAGTTCTTTCTAAATGGTCTGTCCTTCAAGACTCTTGCTATTTCTTAGGGGTAGTTTTAGTCTCTTGTCATAAAGATGTTATCAATCATTCCTGTCCTTTGTTTATTCCAAAGTGGCTGTAGGAGAGAATGGCTCAAAGCAAAGGACAATAGGTACAAAATAGAGACAGAGGTGCAAAGCTTTTCACCTGTTTTTAGTTAATTACGCCAAGTAAGGAGTCAGTGCTTTTCAGCAAAAGCAGTTTAAGCACCTCTTATAAGACCAGGTACTCCAGGGTACTCCAGGTTGTACCTTGGAGTGAGTATAATCATGCCTTGGGAACCAGATTGCTCCCCTCAAGTGATAAATAGCAGTAACAAACCTCTGGAACCCTGGAAGAATAATGACAAAATGGTCAGTTAGGCCCCTGACCAATTTGACCAATGGAACACACCTGTGTCTGGGATTGTTTTACTGTGCATATCTCATGTCTCCTGTCCTAATTCTTTGTCTATTTAAAGCTGTAGCTCATGTCTGTACCCCAAAGATGGCTAAAGATGGGCTGAAGTGCTTACTTTACCTCTTTCCATGGTGTGTCCTGGGGTGTGCAATAAACCTTTCTCTGCCCTTCACTGTCTCTTTACTTGGAGCATAGGGGTGAGTGGCTGGACTTGACATACGGAAGCCTAGGAGTCTGGGGTCCAAAACTCTGGTTTCAATACCTACTTGTTCAATGGCTACTTATTTGTGCCGCCTGCTGTTCTGCAGTGGTTGGTATGTCTGGGGACACCTCAGGGTTTGAGAGGCAAGGGTTGATGCATCTCTCAGGCTTGGGACTGAAGAGTGTGTGTGAGGGGGGGGGATTGAGGTGGAGGTGTGCAATTACCAGCAGTCTGGCTTTGTCGTCAACTTTGCTGGTCCTTAAATTTGATTTTTACCAGTTTAGCTTGAAGTGTCTAAGGCACCCTACTTTAACGCTGTAAGTGATGAATCTGCATCACAGAAGCTGGACTCTCTCACCGGCTATGCTGTCTCCAGTCCCAGCCTAAGCAGCCTCCTGCCCTCCGGGTCTGTCCCTGTCTTCCAGCAGTCCTCGTCCGTGCGAGTCTGTTGCTAGGGTCGGAGGGACTCGCCAGTTTAGGAATCCCCAGGCCTCAGCTGCGGCAGGCCACCCAAGGCCTTGTGGCGGTAAGTGCAATGCCCGCTGGGCTACTCCTCATCCGGGCACCTGGCCCGCGGCCGCTCGCGCCTGCCCGCCGCCATCTTGCCGGCGGCGAGCACGGACATGGGGCTGGCGCTCCTGAGGACCGCGCTGTTGGTGGGCAGCGCTCTCTTGTGCTCTGAGCACCGCTCGCTGTCCAGGAGGAGCGGGCAGGCCGGGCCCCGGGCCGAGGCGGCGCGCGGGCGGCAGGAGGAGCGGGCCACTGAGGAAGGGCAGGCCTCAAAGGGCAGTATGCGGTGCGCGCCCGTGCCTTCTCTCAGGGCGGCGACGCGGCCCGTCCCCGGCCACCCCGGCGTCGTCGTTAGGGCGCTGGTAGAAACACTAGTCAAAATGGCAGACGTCTGTGCCTTAGCGTCGTTAGAGTCGTAGTCACACGGCCGACGTCTGTGTAGGGCGGCTGACTGCCCTCACTACCCTCTCGAGGCCTGTCCTCCTTTTACAGACTAATAGCGCACTACAATGTTGACAGTTGAAACGGGCGTTAGGTGACCTTTTCATACTACCGTTGAGAAGAGTTCAACAAGTTAAATGGCAAGAATCAGAATTTCTAATTCGTGATTTCATCAGTCACAGATGTGTTTCTTTAATGGTGATTTAACCTGGAACCTCGCACATGCTACCTACATTCTACCACTGAGCTACATCCCAAGCTTGTGTTAAGTCCCAAGTTGGTAATCACTGTTTTACATAAGAAAGAAAATGATCCCTGGCCAGAGAAACTTCTCATTTTTATGCTTTTGGGAAATAGAGTTCTTAAATTAATGAACTGTGTTGATTTCATGTCTATTTGCAAGTAGTCAACTATGACATCTTTATCTTAGCTCCTTGAAGATTTTTTCAAAATTTGGGCATGCTTCCAGATACCCAACTTGCTTCGATTTTTAAAAGAGGAATTTAAAAGAATATACTAACGAGTTCAGATTAGGAAGTAATAGATGCTCAGTCTTAATAATGTATATCATGTTTATTTTTAGATTGTGGAATAGCACCACTTAGGGATGTATTGAAAGGGTCTCGGATTGTAGGGGGCACAGAAGCTCAAGTCGGCGCTTGGCCATGGATAGTTAGCCTGCAGATTCGAAGTGGCAGTCTTCTTGTTCATATCTGTGGGGGAAGCCTAGTGAGAGACAGGTGGGTCCTCACAGCTGCTCACTGCATTAAAGATGCTAGGTATGTATTCAGATCATAACTCCTATTTTATTCTCAGGGGTTACTTTGACGTGGTAGAGGACCATTTGGCTTCAGCTATTTTTAGTGAAGCCATGTTTGCAAGTAGCCATAATGCCTTATACATAGTATGCTGCTTTTGTTGACATGGATCCTTTAAGTCAGAGTTTGGCAAACTTTTTGTAAAGATAGAAAATGCTTATAGAGTTTGCAGGTCATATGTGTGTTATAATTAGCATGAAGGTGGACGTAGAAAATACATTATTGAATGGATGTGCCTATGATCCAATAAAATATATAATATATATTTCCATCAATCGCAAAACATTAGTTTGTTTCTTTTTTCAGGCATTTAAAGATGTCAATGGTGGGGCTGTAGCTCAGTGGTAGGTTGCTTGCCTAGCATGTGTAAAACCCTGGGTTCTATCTCCAGCACTGAAAAAAAGAAAGAAAAAGAACCAGCTGGTGAATATGCTCAAAGTACATTATATGGTGTATGAAAATGTCACCAGGGTGTGGCTTGAGTGATAGAGTGCTTGCCTAGTATGCCCTGGGTCCAATCCCCAATACTGAAAAAAAAAGAAAATGTCACAATGAGACCTATCATTTTGTACAATTAATATACACCAATTAAATTTTTTAAATGTGAAAAACATGTTTTGTTCTAAAATAAGACACAGGTTTATTTGGCCTTCATGGTTATACTCTTTGATAAAGAGACTCTCTTTTGCTTCATTTACATTGACCCATAAAATCTCATTTGCAGTTTCATTTCTGTGATCAAAATACAAAGTTCTAGCCAGGCGCTAGTGGCTCACACCTGTAATGCTAGCTTGTCAGGATGCAGAGATCAGGAGGATTTCGGTTCTAAGCCAACCCTGGGCAAATAGTTCGTGAGACCCTATCTCAAAAAAACCCATCACCAAAAAAAGTGCTGGTGGAATGGCTCAAGGTGATGACCCCGAGTCCAAGCCCCAGTACTGCAAAAAAACAAAAACCCACATACTTCTATAGCTGGGAAGGTGGTTCAAATCTATAATCCAGCAGACTGGAATGAACGTGATTCATAACAAGACCCACATTCCAACCAATGGCTGGACGTAGTAGCTGTCATCCCAGCTAATGGGATAGGAGAATCATGGTCCAAGCCAGCCCAAGCATAAAATGAGACCTTATCTCCAAAATAACCAACATAAAAAGGGCTAGGTGACTCAAGTAGTAAAGTGTCTGCCTAGCAAGTATGAGGTCCTGTGATCAAACCCCAGCACCCATAAGAAAGAACCTACCTCCATGCCAAATCTAGTGGACCTCAGGTTCCATCCTACTGATCTCTACAACATTCAGCAATGTTGACAGCAGCCTTTCCTTAAAACTATCTCTTTTCTTTATTTCTAAGACACACTGCTGAAAAATAATGCTGAAAGAAATAGGAGAGAGAGAGAGTGTGTGTATAGAAGAGCACTTGCACATGATCCATTATGGCCCTTCATTCTAAATAATAATCTTTCACTTTTAGCGCCTACTGCTAACTGGCCTCATCAAATTTTACGATTATCTGGTTAGCCCAGCTTTTCATTCTAGGCAATATCATTGTTGCCCAATTTATGAATGAATCATCCTTTAACCAGGTGTCCACTCCTGTCCCACAGAACTGCAGACAGAAGATCTGGATCATGTATTAAATGAGGGCATCTTGACAACAGTGGGCAGGGTGCTTTCCCTTGCTCAGAAACATGGGTATATAGGCACCAATGGACAGTTAGTTAGGAAAAGGGAGAGGATTGTTTTTGTTTTCATGGTGCTGGAGATCAAACCCAGGGCCTCACAAATGCTAGGCAAGTGCTCTACCACTAGGCCTCATCCCCAGCCCAGAAAAGATGTTTTTTATTTTAACATTTTCCATAAAACTGGCACTGAAAAAGAATGTGGATAGTGCACACACACACTACAACTTAAAATCCTGTAGTCCTAACTCATGTTAGCAGAAATGACCTTTTGGATTTTTCTTTTCTCACATTTCTCCATTTTCCACTTACTATTTTCTTTTAAAACTTAAGACATAATGTACATGATGTAAAATTCACCTTTTTAATGTTCCATCTTGCAAAATTTTTTTGTTTTTTGTGTTACTGGGGTTTGAATTCAGGACTTCATGCTTGTGAGGCAGGCACTACTGCTTGAGTCATACCTCCAGCCTTGCAAAATTTTGTTTTGTTTTTGTGATACTAGGGATTGAACCCAGAGCCTTGTACATGCTGGGCAAGTGCTCTACCATCAAGCTACATTCCCAACCTTTTACTTTTCTCTTCTTTTTTTTTTTTGAGACAAGATCTCGCTAAATTGCCTAGTCTACCCTTGAACTCACAAGCCTCCCAACTGGCTGGAATTACAAGTGTATAGCACCACACTCAGCTCCTGTTCTGCAACTTTAAAAAAAAAAAATCTTTGGTGGGACTGGGGTTTGAACTTAGGGCTTCAAAATTGCAAAGTCGGTGTGCTGTACTGCTGGAGCCACACCTTCAGTCCTTTTTTTTTTTGGTGGCTGTGTTGAAGATGGGGGTTTCATGAACTATTTGCTGCCCTACATTGCTTCCAACCACAGTCCTCTCCATTTCAGCTTCCCAAGTAGCTAGTATTACAGGCTTGAGCCACTGGCACCTGGCTCTGTAACTTTTGACAGTGTATCTAGTCATGTAACTACCACAGTAAAATTTAGAACAGTTCCATAACCTCACATTCTCTCATGACCCTTTGCAGTTAACTCCTACCCTATACCCAGCCCTTGGCAACCACTGATAGTTTTCCTCTGTTTTTTTGCCCCTTATGTTTTACCTGACAATATGTAGCTTTTTGAGCCTGGTCTCCTTTACTTAGCATATATTTGACATTCATCTATGTTGTTTTTCTTCATTGGTAGATTATTTCTTTTTTAAAAATGAATGACAAAAATGACTTAAGATATAACAATATGCAGTAAAATTATTTTCAGTGTACAGTTTTGTGAGTTTAACAGAGTCATGTAATTACCAACACAAGACAGTTCTTTCACCTCTAAAAATTCCCCACCCCCTACTCCTTTAGAATCAACATCCTCCCTCATCCTTAGACAACCACTGATCTTCTATTTTTCTATTTTTCTGTTTTTCTATCTTCATAGTTTTGTATAGTTCTGTAAAAGGAGAGTGCCTATAAATGGAATCACAGAGTATGTAGCTTTTTAAATTTGGTTTCTTTTACTTAGCATTTGAGATTACCCATGTTATTATGTATGTGTCATTACTGTTCTTTTCTGTTTTGTGGTACTGGGGTTTGAACTCAGGGCCTACACCTTGAGCCACTCCACCAGCCCTTTTCTGTGAAGGGTTTTTTCAAGATAGGGTGTCACAAACTGTTTGCCCAGGGTGGCTTCAAACCATAATCCTGAGTAGCTAAGATTACAGGTGTGGCACCTGGCAACTGTTCCTTTTTATTGCTGAGTAGTATGCCATTCTATGGATGTAGCACTGTTTATCTACCACTTGAAGGAACATTTAAGTTGATTCCAGTTTGAGCAATTAAAAGCAAAACCACTAGCTGGACATACTGCTGCATCTCTATAATCCCAGCACTCAGGAGGCTAAAGCAGGAGGATCATGAGTTTGAGGCCAGCCTGGGCTACATAGCAAGTTCCAGCCCCTCCCAGGGTACATAATATGACCGTACTTTAAGAAAAAAAAAAGAAAAGAGTAGAGCCACTGTAAATATTCAAACACATCTTTTTGCGTGAGTCTAGGTTTTCCTTTCCTTTGACTCATGATTTAAACAGCCAAGAGTGATCACCAGGTGAAATGATAATTGTATGTGCAATTTTGTATTAAAAAATAAGTAGAACATATTTAATGTAAGAAAATAAGAAAACAGAAATGGCAAAAAGTAAAAATCAATTATATCTCCTAAAATAACAGCTGTTTTTTGTTATCCTAGATTTTTCTATGCATGTATACAAATTATTTTACCTAACAGGCTTATTATATATTATAAACAGCCTTCATTAAATTATATAACATGAGAATCTTTACATGTCAACACATCTGTGTTACTTCTGCATTCCCTTAGATGTGTCAAAGTTTTCTGTGGTAAATGTTCTTTTTTTCACCTGGTCTTTCTTATGGCTAAATCTTTGTGTTTATCTTCTGTTTCTTTGGATAAATTCTAGAAAGTAGAACTGCAGAGTCAAATGCAATGCAGCTTTTATAGGCTGTTGATACATGTGAAATGACTACCTATTTACACTTTCATGATGAGTAAGAGTGCCCTTGTTCCTCTCTTACCTGTACTGTTATCAAACATGGACACTCATAACTTTGCTAATAGGGAGGGTTAAAAGGTATCTCAGAACTTGTAAACAATAGTGGATAAAGTTAAAGTTCTTCCTTCCTAGTTCAGTTCCATATGTAATAACTGTTAACCTTTCAGGGATTTAATTGTCGGTCTTTAACTTTTGTTATTTTTTTTTTAAGACTTTTGCTTCTTGTTTTTACCTTCAGTACAATGCTTTATAAAATCTTTACTCATGTCAGTGTTATTTATTCACCAACATTTTCTTTCTGGTCTAGTTGTTTTTTTTTTTTTTGCTGTATTGGGGTTTAAATTCAATGCTTTGCACTTGTTAGGCAGGCGCTCTACTGTTTGAGCCACATCTCCAGTTCTCTGGTTTAATTTTTTTCTAAATCCTCATGCTAAGTTAATATCTGGATATTTTATTCTAGTATAGTTCAAAAACATATAAAAGTAGAGGAAATATATTAGTGAACTCCCATGTGCCCATCACACAGCTTCAAGGTATCAATTTGTACTTGATCTTATTTTATCTATACTCTTACCAGCTCTTCACCCCATTTGTTTTTGGTGGTGGTATCAAACCCAGTCCCTTATGCATACTAAGTATGTGCTCTACCACTGAGCTACACCCCGGCCTGCTCTTTCCAATTATTTTGAAGCAAATCTCAGTCCTATCACTTTGGATATCTCTAAAATACAGGGATTCTTCATTTGAAAGTTACTCATTTAAATAATTCATTTGGAGTTTATTTTGGTGATTAGTGTTATACCAGGAATTTAATTTTCTCTTTTCAAACAGTTTAACATAGTTGTCCCTATACCATATATAGAATAATTTATCTTTTTGTCCATTGGTAAGACATGCTAACTTGATCATACATTAAATTCTCATGTACTTAAATCTGTTTCTGGATTTTCTGTCCCATTGATCTTTTTCCCTCTCCTACATTATAAATTTTTGGCTTTTACACTAACACGAAAGTAGAATTAAAACTTTTTGTTATTAATCCAGCATAAGAAAAATAAAAACTAGCAGGAGATTAAGAATATTTACTTAGCCTGGTTCCAGTGGCTCACACCTATAATCCTAGCGACTCAGAAGGCAGAGATCAAGAGGATTGCAGTTCAAAGCCAGCACAGGCAAATAGTTCTTGAGACACTCTCTTAAAAATACCCAACACAAAAAAAGGGCTGGTGGAGTGGCTCAAGGTGTAGGACCTGAGTTCAAGCCCCAGTATCTTAAAAAAAAGAAAAGAGTATTTACTTAATTAGGGCTGGTGGAGTGGCTCAAGTGGTAGTGTGTCTGCTTTGTGAGTGGGAAGCACCTGCTTAGCAAGTATGAGGTCCTATGTTCAAGTAAGCATGTTTATAATAAGAATATTTACTTTTTTTCAGAAATCCTTTAAAGTGGAGAGCTGTGATTGGAACTAATATTATAAATGGAAGCTATGCACATACCAAGAAGATAAAAATTACAGCAATCATTATGCATCCAAACTTCATTATGGAAACTTTTGTAAATGATATTGCACTTTTTTATTTAAAAAAAGCCGTAAGGTATAATGACTATATTCAGCCTATTTGTCTACCTTTCGACGTTTTCCAAAAACTGGACCAAAACACAAAGTGTTTTGTGAGTGGCTGGGGAAGAACAAAAGAAGAAGGTAACTATAGTCTCAATTTACTGATACCTATCTTCCTAATTATTGGTAAAGGAGAGTTATTCTTTTATATGTTTCTTTTTAAAACTTTTAATTGTTTTTATAGTGCTGGGGATCAAATCTAGGGCTTTGTACATGCTAGGCAAGTGCTCTACCACTGAGCTATCTTCACAGCCCAACTTTATGCATTTATCTCTCTATAGTACTACTTTATCATGAGATTGAAAAATAGCTATTTATAAACCAATGAAAAGGAAAAATTTTTTGTGTTTTCTTCCTTGTGGGAGGGAGAGAAAAAATTCTCTTCCAAAGCAGAAATATATAGACTTTCTGGTTATGCATACCAAGATACACATTCTTAGATAGAATGATACTTCCAAGTGTTCCTGTAGTCTAAGACTCACAGGCGATGGAGGCAGCTCTATAGCAGAATGCCTACGTTGAATAATAAGCTTTTGGCTATATGGGATCTTATTTAGTTTCCTTTTTATTTAATGCCCTATTTAGTATCAACCAGGTTGACTGCCATGTATTTCTTTAGTATATATAGAAGCACTAAATGTTGATCAACTGAAATAATGGGAAGAAAAAAACACAAAGAAAGCACAGACTCTGTCTTCAGTAACAGCAATGGCTATCTTTTGTGAGCATCTGCATATTTTAAGTATGCTACTTTATTGTAGCTTATCCTCCCAATATTTCTACTAATTGAAGCTAATGATAATAGGAGCTATTATCATTATTACTATTATTTTCCATTTAATACACCAGGAGTTGAAAATGGTACATATTAAGAAGCTAGGACTCAAATTCAGGCCTTTGTGATTCTGAAGCCTAAATATTTAACTACCATATTAAACTGTTCTTAAGGAAATCACAGTCCAGTTAGGAATATTTAAGATCAGGTACTGAGACTTTTTCCTATTCCCCACAGGCCCTAGCTATTTAAACATTTGTAAATTATTTAGACGGTATGATAAATTATGAAAGACTTGTGAACTATTTTTATTTTTTCCATCTGTGAATACTTTCTGAGAAAGATAAGAAGAAAATGACATGATATAGAAGGATAAAAAGCATGGGCTTTAGAATCCCAGACCTAGATCCAAATCCCAGCTGTGCTATGTTCTAGTTAAATGACCATGTGCACGTTAATGAAATTTTGACAATTAGAATAACAATAAAAGGAGAAACTACCATTTATTCAGGACTTGGTACCTAATAAAATACTAAGCATTTTAATGCATAGTCTCATTTAACACTATGAAAAAGATTATAACATAAGTGAATAAAATGAGGCTTAAGGAAAGGTTAAATTAGTTGCCCAAAGCTATATAGCCAAGTAATAGAGTCAGAATTCAAGCCCACATCTGCCTGCCTCAAAGCTCTTGTGTTTCTACTATATTATATCAGCTTTCATGGTCAAAAGATGAGAGCAGTAATATCTGTCAGACAGTTGTTTGGAGGTTTAAACTGGCTCTCCAGCAACATGGCTACATGTACATTCCAGCCTTCCTACAGAAAACTATTTTTTTATTTTGAGATAGGGTTTTACTTGTAGCAAAGTATGGCCTCAAAATCCTGATCCTCTTGCCTCTGCCTCCTGAGTGCTGGGATTACAGGTGTGAGTCACCATGCTTGGCCATGAAAAACTATTAAACAAGAAAACATAGATCAAGGACTGAGTGTGAAGATAGGAACTTAGGGAGGTAACTAGAGTACCAAAGTGACTTTCATCTTGAGGATATTTGTGTAATTGTTAACAGTGAATATGGATTTTGGTGGTTTTGTGGGCCTTGGTGAGAACAAAGTTTACCCAAATTGGGTGGGGGAGACTCCCATAAAGCTCATAACTCAGCATGTAGCTCATATACCCATAGTATAACTCAAACATGATATTGGTAGATTGAAAGTATCTTTACGCTCAGTCTTTGACCTATGCGTTCTCCCTCATTAACAGTTTTCTGTGGGAAGGGTAGGTGTACATGCAGTCTACCATGTTGCTGCAGAGCTAATTTAACCCTCAGAACAACTCTGGAATGAGTAGTAGCATTTTCATCTTACACATCAGTGTGTGACACTGGCAATATTAATTTTTTAAAAAGCTAGAATAGGGCTGGGGACATAGCTCAAGTGGTAGGGAGCTTGTCTAGCATATGTAAGGCCCTGGGGTTTCAATTCTCAGTACCAGAAAAAAAAAAAAGCGTGGAATGGAAAAAAATTAGGAATGGCTATATTAGTATCAGATAAAGTAGACTTCAGAGCAAAAAAAATTACTAGAATGGTGATGAATACTGCATAAGAATAAAAGTTTCCTTCCACTGAGAGGATATAGCAACTCTAAATGTGCATGCACCAAGAATCAGAGGTGCAGTTTTTAAAAACATACATGTGACCTCACATTTGCCATATGATCTAGGAATAGTACTCCTGGGCATTTACTCAAGAGAAATGTAAACAGTTGTCCATAGCAAAAATATATTCACACATGTTTATAAAAGCTTTATTTGTGGTAGCCAAAACCTGAAACAGAAGGTGGGTATGCCCACATGTAGCCCTAGCACCTGGAAGGCTGAGGTAGGAGGACTGTAGTTTGAGGGTAGCCTGCACTAAATAGTGAGAGACTGCCTTAAAAAAAAAAAACACTTTGGGAAACAAACAAAAAATTCCTTTAATAGATGAATGATTAAACAAACTAGTGTACCATTACCATGGAATACTGTTAAACAACTAAAGTGGATGAACTAGCTGGTGGAATGGCTCAAGGGAAGAGTGCCTGCCTAGCAAGCACAAGGCACTGAGTTCAAACCCCAGTACCACCAAAAACAAAGCAAAACAAAAACTAAAATGGATGAACTACTGGACTGGAGTCATGGTTTAAGTAGTAGAGCACCTGCTTTTCAGGCCCAAAGCCCTGAGTTCAAATCCCAGTTCCAACAAAAAAAAATGGCTAAACTATTTATACATTCAGCAAGTTAGATGGACCACAAGGGAATTAGGTTGAGTGAAAAGAAGACAATATTAAAAGGTCACATACTATAAAATTCTAGTTATGTAATTTTCTCAAAAAATAGTTTTTAAATGAACCACCTATAACCAAAGCATCCTCAACTCCTAACTCCAGCCCCAGGATTGTTAGGAAACCTGTCCAATGGAAGGGAGAAAGTTAGAAATTTCCCTAGAAAATATGTAACTCCAAATATCACTTCTATGGACTTGCTGTCCAAATCATACTGTGTAGACTAAAAATTATCCAGATGCTGAAAATTTTGTTTTGTTTTTGTTTTTTTGCTATTGTTGAACTGGGGTTTGAACTCAAGGCTTTAACATCTGCTTGCAAAGTAGGCACTCTACCTCTTGAGCTACACCTCCAGTCCATTTTGCTCTGGTTATTTTGGAGATGGGGGTCTCAAGAACTACTTGCCAGTACCCAGGATTGCAGGTGTGAGCCACCAGTGCCCAGCTTGAAAATTTAGTTTAAATAGATCCTGGTGTGTTATGTTCCTAGGTGACTGACAAATCAAATGCAAATCATTTGTATAAAAAGTTAATTTCACATAAGACCTCAAAAAATTTCACAATATAAAGTTCAATGAAAATGAATAGATTACAAAAAAAAAAAAAAGACTAACTGCTAAACACCCAAAGAAACAAGGCATCATGAGTGAGAGTCTTCAGAAACATGAGAGATGAGAATAAGACCTTCAAAGATTCTAGATATTGGAATCATTGGGTAAAAATATATAATACAGCATGAGGAAGAAAAAAATGTCTAAAAATATGAATAAAGCAAGTAGACATGAAAAAGAACCAAACAACTATGAAAATTTAAAAATCTAATACTTGAAATTAATTCAACAGCCTAAAGTGAATTCCACAAAGAAAAAAAAAATCAAATATCAGCTCACAAAGATCATAAGGAAACAAACTATTAAAAATGAAGTCAACAGAAATAACAACAGATTAGACCAGCTGAGAACCTCAGATATTAATATTTTAGGTGCAGAACAGAAAATAAATATATATTAATTATTTAAAGAAAGAAAACAGTAGAGTTATAAATGAGCAATAGACTATGCAGAATGACCGGGCACATTTAAAAGAGAACAAAATCGAATCTTTAAAAATGAAAACTGTAACTGCTAGCATTTAAAACTCATTGTATGAATGAGGTATCATATTTATACATATAGCTGAAGAATCTGTGAACCAGATGTATCTGAAGGAACTTCTTAGATGTACCATGGAGAGAAAAAACAGGAAATATGAAAAAATTAAAGTATAAGTATGAAATAAAAAAAAGTCTAATATACACCTAATGAAAGTGCTAGAAAGGACCGGAGGTGTGGCTCAGCAGTAGAGCACCTGTCTAGCATGTACAGAGGCCTGAGTTCAAACCCCAAAAAAGAAAAAAAACAAAGTTAAAGAAAGTGCTAGAGAGAAAAATAAGGAGAATAGAGGAGAGCAGTATTCAATGGATTGGGTTGAAACTGATGAAAGATCTGAATTGGAAGCACAGTACAGGAAAAACAAATGCAATCCCTTTTCATACACTGTACTGAAGTTACAGAACAAAAAACAAACAGAAGATTTGAAATACAGCTAGACATAAAAGAAAATCCTTGTAATCAAACTTCAGATTGAATTTCAGTAAACTTCTTAATAGAAATAATGAAAATGAAAATACAATAAAATGCCATCTTCAAAATGCTGAGAAAAAATAACTATGAACCTACAATTATCTAGCAAAACTATCCTACCATATCATATGTCTTCAAAAATAAGTGTGAATAAGTTTACTACCAACAATCTTTCACCAAAGGAGATAAAAGAGACATCAGAAACAAAGAAAATGATGCCAGAAGGGAAATACAGTAACCCCCCCTTGTGCTAGGAGAAATATGTTCTAAAAAATTTTGTTTGCGCTTCAAACCACAGATAGGACTAGACCCCTCTAAATACATACTGATCATAAAATTTATAAATTAGGCCCAGTAAGAGTT